CTTTTCATGAACAGAGATTTTTTTATAGTTGGTACCTTTTATATCCTAATTAATTCTTCACTACTCTAGGGTCAAAGCCACTTCCTGTACGAGCTTCTAAATGCATGACCGTTGGGCCATCAGTTTGATTCTGAATCTAAAGTGCACCAAAACCTATTAGATGTGTCTCCAACTTCCTGGCCCTTTAGGGAGACTGAGGCCCTGACTGCTTCAGGGGAGCCCATTCCTGCCTCTTCTCAGTGTGAGGCTTCTCCACGATGTCTCACGATTGCCCCTTCTCCAAGACTTCTCACTGTGGCCAACACATCTCCAGCCAGAACTGCCAGGGTCTGTTTGGGTCCTTGCTGGACAGAGCGTCCCCCGGCTCCCTTCCAACTCAGTTGGCCGGCTTCTGTGAGCTCCGTGGATGGGCTCACTGAGCTCTGCTGGGTGCCACCAAACTGGTGCTGCTGGTTCCTGGGGTGAGAGGACAATGCCTTGCTGTGTCCCAAAGCACTTCGAGATCACCCCCAGGCTCCCAAGGGGCACAAGAAGAAACTTGGGAGAGGTTGCGATTTGGAATGAGGACAGGCGTTCGTGGTGAAAGTAGTCTTGGTAAAAATTCTTGAGAAAGCAACCAAGGACCTTCAGTAAGTTGGGGTAGAAAACCTTCTGTCTCCAACAGGTAAATGATAGTCCCGACACTGTGACTCAGCTGGCAAGATGGCTGCGGATGGCGCGCGCCCTCCCTTGTCTCCATAATTGCTGTCATTTTAATAAACAGAGCTCAGCTCATTCAAGGGACAGTTCAATTGCAGATAGAATTTATTCTGTGGTAAGCATGAGGGTTTAAATTTTCTAACTATCAGTGTTTGTGCTGCTTGTTGGCACGGGGAAATGGCATAATAGTAATATAATAGTGAATACATAGCGAGAGCTGGCTATGTGCCAGGCATGGCTCTGAGCCCTTTCTGGGTGTTAGCTCATAATCCTCACCATCCTTCCCACCAGCCTCCATCCGGGGTTCATCTTTATTCTGTGGGGAACCTGCAGCCCCAGCTGCCCCCACAGCCCTGTGACCCGCCAGCCACCTTCCACAGAAGCAGCTCGGTCAGGCAGCCCCAGAGCCCTGCTCTCTGTCATACTCAGGACAGGGGAGGGGGGCTTCCACCTGGCTCTCCAAGAAAAAGCCATGGAGTGACTTAGTCATCATTTTCTTGTATCTGCAGTGTCTTTAAGAAGAAAGACTGCTGTCGTCTGTGAGCATTAGTCATCATCTAAAAAACTAAAGGGAATGAGCTTAAAATAAAATCAAGAACATCAGAAGGAACTCGAAGAGAGCCCGAGGGAGAAAATGATAGCACAGGCTAGATAAGGGTTTGCAGAGTCTTTGCCTACGGAGATCAAGCCCGGGCACTGTCAAGTTGGGTGTCCCTCCTTTTCTTCCTCCTGTCCTTTATCAGCCACCAAGTGGTGTGCTCCTTCCTCACAGCCCCTGGACAGCTGGCTGCAAGAGTGGAGGGGCTCGCCTGCTCTGTTGTGTTTCTTCCAGTGCCCAAGGCAGTGGCTGGCACGTGGGGTCCCTGAGTCAGCTTTGGGTGGATTCTGTTGTTGAGTGACCTGTTTGCATGCCCCCTCCTGTGCATCACGTCTCCCTTTCCCTGTGCCTGTTCAGACTGACCTTCTCTAGCCTGATGGTGTCCTGTGCTCTGTCCTTCTTCAGGCCAGAGAGCACAGGTATGGTCCTGCCCTCCCCTCCTCTCGCCCCCTCAGTGGGTCCCATCACCCCCGCCCCAGGTGCTCAGGACAAGGCACTCACTCCTCTGCAGCCTTCTTGGTTCTGGCCTCACTTCTCTTTGCAGTATCTGCCTCCACCACTCTCCTCCCTCCCCTCTGATGCTTCTGTATGCACTGTGCCCTCTGCCTGGAGTGCCCTGGCTGCCCCACAGACACCATCTTTTTTTTTTTTTTTTTTTAAGATTTCATGTATTTATTTGACAGAAAGAGATACAGCAAGAGAGGGAACACAAGCATGGGTAGTGAGAAAGGGAGAAGCAGGCCTCCCGCTGAGCAGGAAGCCCGATGCTAGGATCCTGGGATCATGACCCGAGTCAAAGGCAGACACTTAACAACTGAGCCACCCAGGTACCCCCCACAGACACCATCTTGTCCCTTGGCTCCTGCTCAGGGATTCCCTCCTGTGGAAGTCATTTCCTGGGAGCCTCTCTGTCCTTATGCCTGGACCCTCTACACCACGCTCCGTGTTCTTGGGGTGCCTTATTTTTACTCCTGTTGTCATGCTTGCCCGCTTCCACTTCTTTCAACTAGTCAGTGCATTTTTTTTTTTAAATATTTTATTTATTTGAGATCACAAGTAGGCAAAGAGGCAGGCAGAGAGAGAGGAGGAAGCAGGCTCCCTGCTGAGCAGAGAGCCTGATGCGGGACTTGATCCCAGGACCCTGACATCATGACCTGAGCCAAAGGCAGAGCCTTAACCCACTGAGCCACCCAGGCGCCCCTATTCAGTGCATTTTTGTCGAAGGCCAATCACCATTCGGTATCAGGCACCCAGGCATGAAGCAGGTAGTTGGGGCCCCTGTTCTCCTGGAACTCCCGTTGGATGAGGCAGACAGAGGACACACATCAGCACGTGAACGGACAAGAAAACTTGGAGAACTTTCCTGAATGGTTATGAAACACCTCATCACACTGAGCATTCATTGAGTGATTGACCAGCAGCTCATGCCACCCTCACAGCTTCCTCACCTTTTGGTTGATGTGGGGGCAGAGCCACCTTTCAGTCCCAACCTCTGGGGCTCTCTGTATCTTGCTGTGACGTGGGCCTGGTCCCTCACGGGCCTTCTGGTCTGGCGGACCTGCCCCTCCCCAGCAGTTACAGGGCCACAGAACAAGTACAGCAGGGGCTTCAGAGGCCAGAGGCCAGCAGTGAGGGTAGCATCTGTGAGTGCTTCCTCAGGGCCAGCACCTTCAAAGCAGGGACCCGGAGGAGGCCCAGGAGTTAGCCAAACACAAGGAGAGGTGCACGATGTCCTCGCCTCAGGGTGCAGCCTGGGGAAGACCCAGAAGGAAGAAAAAGCTGGCCAACTTGAGAAAAGGAAATTTGGGGGGTGGGTATTACAAGCCTCAGAAGTGAATTGGGAGGTTCAGGCATCATCCTGGGAGCGTTTGGCAGCCAACAGACTGTTTTTTGTTTTGTTTTATTTTGAAGTCACGGCTATACCCAACATGGGGCTCAAACTCACGACCCTGAGATCAAGAGTCACTTGCACTATGGACCAAGCCAGCCAGGCACCCCTGCCAGTAGATCGTTTTAAACAAGGTGGTGACCTCATCTGATACAGGGCTCCTTCTGGCTGCTGGTGGGGAACACGTTGGACAGGGACAAAAGTCATTGTGGGAAGACCAGTTTGGTCATTTCATTCCCCAGATAAGAAATGACGGTGCTCTAGACTGGAGGTCGAAGCCATGGGAATAAAGGGAAGGGAGAGGATCTGAGAGAATATGAGGGAGGAGTGTGTCATAGCCCTTGGACATTGTTTGGATGCGAAGATGAGGGCAGAAGGGGGAGAAGCTGAAGATGCCACCAGAGTGTTTGGTATGGGCAAGTGACCCATTGGCAATACCATGGAGACATTGAGCACAGGGGAGGCAGAGGTATGAAGAATACCACTGGGGATGCATGTCAAATTCTGGTCTCCAGGGGGCACACAACAGAGAGTTACCTGGATATACAAATTCAAGGGTGTATAAGATTGTGTTTAAAAATACAGGAAAGGGGCTGCCTGGGTGGCTCAGTGGGTTAAGCCTCTGCCTTCAGCTCAGGTCCTGATCTCAGGGTTCTGGGATCAAGTCCCACATCAGGCTCTCTGCTAGGCAGGGAGCCTGCCTCCTCCTCTCTCTCTCTCTCTCTCTACTTGTGATCTCTCTCTCTGTCAAATAAATAAAATCTTTAAAAAAAAAATACAGGGAAGGAGGAGTTTTGAGGGAGACTGAGGCAGCAAGAGACATGTCTGTCTTCTCCCTCTCTCTCCTATGTCAGCTTGCACATGAACTAGTGAATATGGGAGCCATTAGCCACATGTGGCTTTTTTAATTCCAATGAAAAGAATTAAAATGAAATACAATTAAAAATGCCGTCTTCAGGAGCAACTGAGTGGCTCAGTGGGTGGAGCGTCCGACTCTTGGTTTCGGCCCAGGTCATGATCTCAGGATTGTGAGATTAAGTCCCGCATCGGGCTCCATGCTGGCTGTGGAGCCTGCTTGGGATTCTCTCTCTCTCTCTCTCTGCCCCACCCCCACTGCACGTGCACACACACTTTCTCTCTAAAAAATTAAAAATAAATTTAATTTAAAAAAGAACAGGCTTTGATCATGCCGGCCACATTTCAATGCTCATAGTCATGTGGGTGGTGGCTTTCATAAGGGACAGTGCACATGATAGACCATTTCCATCACCACAGACAGTTCTATTGGACAGTGCTGTATCCAGATTCTATGTTGTATTTTTGTATGGCAGTGCCCAGTCACTCAGAAAAAAAGCGCGGTTCCTTTGATTAAGGAGACCTTTAAGAAGTAAACAGGTGTTAATTTGCGGGCCTAGTGGTCAGGAAAGGAACCCCATGTGTTCTTCAGGGCCCTTCACATGAGCTAGTGGGGCCGCCCTGGGGTCCCTCGCTGTCCCCACCACCCCAGCCAGAACATAGGCGTGTCAGCAGGTGGGGTCCTCTGGGAAGAGTAGGACCCCCTGCACACTTCTTTGACTTAACTCTTACTTCTTTGGTGGGCCCATGGGCAATACTTTTGCATTGGAGCAAGTAAAACCTTCTGGATTATAATTGGGATGACAGGTTGATAGATTCGAGGTCTTCACAGAAAATCAGATCTTGAACTTTTCATTTCATAAACCAGTTCTGAATTGTCTTCAATGTTCAGTTTTGGCTTTGGCTTTTGTTTTTTATCTTCGTTGAGTGTGTACCTTTGTTCTTTATTTTCTTTTTCAGTCAGATGTCATGGATCAGAATTTGTTAAATTTCCTTCCAGAACAAGAACACTCAGAAGTGTATAAAATGCTTTCTTCCCATATGCTTGTGACAGATTCCCCCTCCCCAGAATACTTAAAATGTAAGTTTAACTTTACTGGTTTTATAAGATATAAGATAAGAATTTTACTTTTGAAAGGAGGTTAGAATGAATTAAGAAGGGAGGACTAATTTTAAGAACAATTTTCCTGGCGACTCAGAATATTTCCAAGATCCTTGGAGGTATATTTTAAATTTAAAGCTAAAACTGGAGTTCGGAATATGTATGACATTTAACTTCTCTGTGGAAAATTTGAAAGCATGGCGCTTAAGAATAAGAATTTTTTGCATGTAATACAAGAAGTTCTTTTTTTTTTTTAACATGAGAGTCTTTGAGTAACAAACAATGCAAAAATCAGTGCACAATCTGCTCATTTTAGAGACACCGTGATGCTAGATTTGTATGATAACCAAGTCACCAACTGAAAACTGAATAATTAGGTCAAAACTCCAAATTCTCTTCTCCTGAGGCTGTCGTCTGGTCTTTTATATACATTTGTGGTTTTTATGGAATTTTAAGTTTTTCTCAAAATTGGCGACCTGGATGGAAGGCCAGCCTGAGTGCCTCCTGAACCGTGTGCCCCTGAACAAAGCACAGACATTGATAGAAATAGTACAAGCGCCTCATGATTACTTGTTCAGACCTTGGTTCTTTTTCCGTGAATAATGTGTCCTGTTGTACATCTGATTTTACTTCAAAGCAACGTGAAAAGATTAAATTAAAGAGAGCAGCTCTATATGAGCAGCTTTATTTTAATACACCATATGAAAACAACCGGAACTAATCAATGCTGACATAACCAACCACAGACATCTGTGAGCAAATTAAGACTAATTGGGCCCGAGTATGGAATGCAAAATATCTATACAAACTATGGGGGGAACCCCCTGTTCTGCAAAGGTTTTAAAATCAGGTCCAAGAGTCACTCATCAGGAGAGAAACGTCCTGGCCATGTATAGACTAATGCCCAGGAGTTACACAAAGACATAACTTGTTTAGTCTAGAATCTATGTCTTATTCACGTTCCTTTTCTCTTTTTCCTTTAACGGCCCAGCTGACAACGATTTAGAGTTTTATTGCCATCTTCTTAGAGGCAGCTTGAACCCAAAGGAATTTCCAACTTATGAATACATAAAATTCGTAGGAAATTTTCGCTCTTACAACAATGGTAAGCTTTAATTGTCATATAATTGCGACAGTGTCTTTTATCATGCAAACGTGCACAGGGGGGCATAAGACTCACTGAGGGAGGAGGAGTGAGAATCTGTGCTTTTCCTATTTGCATTTGGATTTTCATGTTCCCAAGATGCATTTTGTGCTCGTAAATGTTATCTCCCATTCGAGAAAGAACGCACTCCCACACTTGTGTTGATGCCGGGCCACGATGTCCCACTGAAATATACTTTATTCATTTACTTATTTTTGGGCTGATGGAATAGTGCTGTACTATGAGAAACAACTTACAGTTAATAAAGAACAGACTCAGCCTACACACAGCCAAACAAGGCTGCACTGTGACAAGAAGATCCATAACCTTGGTTTCTGCATCTTTATTCTCCTTTTTTCACTACCTCTGTGGGCATGTTTTCGTGGGTCTGGTACCTAGGGTTTCTGCTCCCTCTGACCCTAATGCCCAGGAAGTGGCCATTTTATGATGGGCCAGCAATCCACACCTGATGAATTATCAAGCCGATTAGCCAAGCAGTAAAATCTTACTCTCTGAAACTACCCAGATAACTAATGGTCTGAACTCTGGCTGCAACTCTAAACTCGACTTACACCCTCTATTTCACTTTTGACCTGAGGAAAATGGGGTTGCGGGCCCAATGCCAGAAATTCAGCAGTGCCAGCCCCCGCCCCGCCCTACAGTGAAGCCCAGCATAGAAAGGTCAGAGTTTGGTTTGCTCCAGGCCTCCAACCTCAACATGAAATAAATCACTTTGAATGATCTAACATTTCATAGGACTGCAGAGATGGGAAAAAACAGGAGGACGTGTTGACAGGGATGGCAGAAAGAGAGAAGAGGAAAGGAGAAATATACCAAAGGAGAACAAACAGGGAAAGAAGAGGCCCAGGGAGTTGATGGCAGCCCGGGATGTCCCTGTCACTGTTATATAACTCCAGACCCACAGTGGGGTCCATTCCCACACCACATTAGTCGCATAGTTTCCAATAGAACCAGCCAACGTGATGGTCCCGAGTCCTAATGCTGAGGCTACCTGGATCTTCCCTTCACCCTTAGATGATCCTCTGCTGTATGTTGCTTGCATAAATATACATGCTTTGTCTCAAAGTCTCCAACTAGATGCTAAGCGTGTTGGTCTTGCCAACATGATTTTCAAGCCTAATGTTCAGGGCTTATGCCTGGATGATGGGCTCCTCAGCCAACTGGGGGCCCTCTGGGAACCTACCCAAACAGGGCTCAGTTGTTCCTGAGTGGCTGGAAGTGAAGGCAGGTCAGCTTTCCCAAGTGGGGCCCTAAGTCTGGGCTAAATGGAGAGAGCCAAAGCCTGACCATGCCTAACCTGACTCATCTGAAAGGCTTTCCTAAACCTCATGAGATGAATGTTTAATGAACCACACACTTAAGTAAATGGTAGCTAGCTAAAGAAACTGACCCAAGAGGTGCCTTGTCAAGCACCCAATGTCATGCCAATCCTGGTGCAGGGTTCAGTGGGTGAGGCAGCTTGTTAAAATGCAGATTCTGGGTTAGGAGATCAGAAGGCGGGGCTGAGATTGTGAAATTGGAGAACAACCTTGGGGTTTTGGTGAAAGGGGTCATGGACTTTGAGAGACACCGCCCTATCATAATATTAAATGCCATTCTGTAGGAATTTTAAGGGTACTCCTCACGCTGATGGTGCTCCTTCCAGACAGCTTTATCCTTGAATTAATATAAACAGTGCTTTGGAATTCGCTTAAAATGTGTGTTGTGGCCATTATGCCAGCTGCTGGAATAGCAGAGCATCCCATGAGGCTGTGAGCAAGGAAGGGAAAGGCACCCTGGCCCCCGGAGTGCCAAGACTGTGGGAATTATGGGACAAGGCGCCCACGTGTCCCCATGACAACAGTGCACCACTTAATTAAGGAACCGACACGTGATTGGCTGGTGGGCCACAGTCAAATCCTTTGTTAATTTCCATTTCTGCAACTCTCTCTTAAGCTGCTGCTGAATATCACTTTGAAGCTTCCTGTCACTTAGCACCTTTTAGAGGGTTTCAGGAAAGAGGGAGGCTTCATTGTGAATACCTGGGCTGCTGTTTGTTTTTTGTTTTCGTTTTTTGTTTTTTTTAACTAGCAAAGCTTTATTTTCACTTCAAGTTGAGACAATGTTTGTTTCCCTGAAAGAATGTGTGGAAATTATGTGTGATTTTTTTTTTTTTTTAACTGTGACTGCTATAAACACACAGCACTGAAAGTGGAAAATTTAAAACCAAGAGTGCCAGAGTGTCTTTCCAGAGCCTGTGGAACCAACCAAAGTTAGGGGGCTTTCTTGAGGCCAGAGTCCCCAAAAGTAATTGTGGAAAAACTGAAATATAATTCTCACTTAGATGAAAATAGACAGCAACCAATGTCAGAGACAAATGAATGGCTAGGATGGAACCTCATGAAATCACCGACATCCAATCCTTTTTGACCTATGAAATATGGTTTAACGTACTCTAAGGAATACTTCAAATTTGATTTTGTAGGTTTACTTCTCAATAAGCCTTGAACAATGGGGTAATAAAAGTAGCTTACCTTAGGAGTGCTTCCTAAGTCCTAGGTCCTGGGTCTTTGCATTGATAATTTCATTGAATCCTCTCACCAACCTTATAAGTGGTTCTGTTGGCATCGTCCCCACTAATCAAGGGAGGAAAGTGATACATATGAGAGTCTGAGGTGCACCCATGGGAAGTGGGGGGCCTACGCTCATACCCGTTCTAACCCTGAAGTCCTACCCTTCACCCCAGTACTTTGCTGCCTCCCACAAATCTGTGTTGTGCTGCATTACACAGACCTGTCCCTGTTACCTGGCATACAGTTGGTTCAGGATGTCTATACCTGTGCTCACCAGGTGTCCTGCACCCATGTACCAAGCTGCTTTCAGGGGACCCAAGATTTGTTTTAAATCAAATATGGTGAGACACACAGACATGGACATGACTGTCAGGGAGAAGAGGTTTATACTCACAGACCCCTCCAAACTGGCACAGCACACCATGGAGCCACACAGGGAAGCACCAGGGGAGGTCAGGGGGCAGGGCGAAGAGGAGAAGATGTGGGCAAGAGCTAGTTAGTTGTATGGTTTCTGTGGAAATGAAGAAGCAAGGAGGTGTAAACAGGTGTCAGTTTGTCTACCTGGAATCTTGGGTAAGGGGCTGTCCCTAGTTGTCGGAAGCCTGGATGATGAGAGCCAGTGGATAGTAGCCCAGAGTGGGAGAGACCCACAAAGGTGAGGGTTGGGGGTTGGTTTGCCCACGAAAGGTGCATGGAAGGGTGAATCATTCACTACTTCTAGGACTTGGCCAACCCAGAAGAGAGCAGTTCCTTCAAGGTTGGGAAGGCCCCAAATGTCAAAGTATCAAATACAGAAACTGGAGAATGTGGTTTGTACACAAGCCACCCCCGCCATTGTCCTGAGTTCCCAGGCATGGCATACATTTAAAAACAAGGTGTAAAATAAAGAAGAGAACTGACTATGAGCATTGGTTTTATTTTAAATAAATAAAAGTTAGTTTGCGGTGTGAGCAGAATCCCTGCTCACACTGCAGAGAACTGTGTAGAAAACTCTACTCTGGCCCATTATCTGGAAAAGTCCTCTCATTTCTGTAGGGCTCTTTAGTTTATGGAACATGGCCTGGTCCATTCTTCTTTGATGCCTGTCAGGAAGATGCAAAGTTCTCATCTTTATAAATAAAGATTTGTTTATGGGAAGAACAGTCACCTTTACTCCTCTGTGAGTCTACGCAGTCCATACCTGGTACATCAATGAAACTTGACAAGTACATTGACCTAAACTGAGGCTCAGCGATCTTGGCCCCCCACACACAGGTGACTGGGGACCCCAGCAAGATTCAGACCCGACTTTTGACTCCTAGAGAAATCAGACTTTTCTCTGAGAACTGAAAATACAGCTCTCCTTGACAGACCCGAGAGCCCATCCAGAGACAGAGCTCCCACTACGCTTTGACCTTGACTCCAAAGTGAAGATTAAATCCATTTCGGTAGGTGCTGGGAAAACTGGCCCTTATGTCAGTTCCAGTGACTTGTGAATTGTCTGCACTGGGAGGCCTAGGCAACAGGATCTGGCCAGTGTGTGGTCATCTTTGGCCTCCATTTGCTCCCCATTCTGGGTCTGCCACCCACATCAAGTTCCTTAACCACCTGGGCTCCCTGGGCGCTCCCCGAGGTCTGTAACTGGACCCCTGACTCAAGTGCCCCGCCAGGACTCTTCCCTGCCTCTTGTTCACTTGATCACCCAGTTTGCCTTAAGGCTGACCTAGGCACAAACTGCAACTCGAAAACAGTCCATACGAACCCTTGGGCCTTACACCAAAGGACAGAAAGGGAACCGTGTCAGCTCCAGTACAGGGAAGATGGGGGACACGGATCCAGAGGGAGCTTTTGGCGACCCTTAAATCATGTAGATGAAGATGCCACCTGCTTGCCGGCCACCCCACATAACTGCTCAGCATTTGTCTGCCCTGCCACCGGTGGGAGTAGACCGGTTTAGGAATTTGGGGCATGGAGAGACATAGAAGCACCTTTGCCCTTGTTAAGGCAATTAATCTCTGGTTGGACATTTCTAGATTCACCGGCCGATTATGCCAGCTTACCCCTGTACCTCTGAACCCTCTCTGTTCCCCATGGCTGGGCAGACACAGCCACCATTGCCCAAATGCATCAACAAAATGGAATTTTCCCTTGCTTCACGTTTGCACATCTTGGTCACTCCTTAGGACTTCATCATCTGCTACAGATGTTGAAGGCAGGGGAGGGGATATAAGACAGGATTGCACATCTTTAACCTAGATTGTTTAATAAATGTGAAGAAGTATGTGTTGGGAAATGGGACAAGAAAAGAGCTTTCCTAGAACTGTTTCACTTTAGGACAGTTTCTTTCTTTTTTTTTAATTGTACCAAACATTTATTTATTTTTTATTACACTCAATTAGACAACATATA